CGACAGCAAGTTCAGCGAACCAATTTTTTAGCTCTTTATCACGATTCGTCCAAACCGATGCAATCAAAATGCAAGCTAAAATTAATACAAATGTCAGATTTCTAACCTCAAATCGGATTTTTAAACAAATTTCCAATTTCCGAAGGTTAAATTTTCGAATAAAAAGAAAATCTCATGAGGATCCCTGTCTAGTTAGTATCCCAAAAAGAGCAAAGAAGAACCCCAAAAAGAGTAAAAGCCTGCTCAAGATAGTAATCATTGGTGAAGCGCACTGGGCGGGCCCGTGCGATCATGCGTTTTTGCAGTGTTTCGTGCTCACTCGAAATTCCGCTAGGTAGAAACCTCTTGAACACACTGGTCCTCGAATTTTGGGAAGTTAATTATCCGCGCTATACTTGGACAGGGAACATTCCCCTGAAATCCCAGGTTCTCAGCTTTTTCAGTTCCCCAGTTACCCAAATTCCAGTCAGAAACGTGCAACTACGCATACTGGGGCGCTGATTCTGATAAATTGAAGTTGTAGATGAGTTGGGAACATTTTCTGAAAGTTTCAGCCTCCCAGCTTCCCTGGTTCCGGAGTTAGCCACTTTCCCGCCAAAAATTTTCACGGGACCGCACGTGGCAACCACACATAACGGGGGTTAAATTTGATAAATTGAAGTTGTGGATGAGCTGGGAACATTTCCTGAAGGTTTCAGTCTCCCAGCTTTCTTGGTTCCCGAGCTACCGATATTCGCGCCAGGAACCCTCACTGGGCCATACGCGGGAACTACGAACCCCCGGCGGCTGAATTTGAAATCTTCGAGTTCTGCTTGGACTGAAAACATAATCCCAAAATTTCAGCTTTCTAGCTTTTCTGATTCCCAAGTTAGCAGTTTTTCCGCCACAACTTTGAGGCGCTCGTACGCGGGGCCTAGATGTGCTTGAGGATTGACACCGTGGTCCTGGGGTGGCACTTGGCCGGGGAACTCACTCCCAAAATTTTGGCACCGGAGCTTGCTTTGATGCCGAGTTGAAACGCCGGGACAGACGCACACACATATACACACACACACCGGGGTGGTCACAATATGTGTTTTTGCATATTATGCAAAAAGGCATAAAAATGAAGAAATTCAAAATTTTAAATAAATGCAAACGTATGCTAACAATATTTATGTTTAGAAGGAACACAACAGATAAAACAGCATCTCCATAAAATACCAAAACACGTACCAATTGCAATCTGATGTGGCGGATACATCAAAGACAGATCTGTTCTGGTACAGTCGTTACAAATTTTCCAAGCATATGCCGAGATCGTATCCAGATCTTTGTGCTCTCGTGCCATTTCAGCCATTAGTTGATTTAAAGGTCTGAAAAAAATGTTGGATTTTTGGTACTGCTACAACTACAACACAAAAATTTGATTATAAACATAACCTACATAGCACTACGAGTCGATCTTGTTCACCGCTTCGTGACGGCTCAGAGATTTCTACCAAATTTGGGATATTTGTTACCTGTGAGTTGAAATCACAAACTTTTGGTGAGGCAAAGTTTGAAATCACAAACTTCGACGAACTTTTGGTGAGGCGTCGAACTGTTTGTTTTTCGAGTTATTTGTGAAGTAAAAACTGGATTTCGTGTAAAAGCAAAAAATCTTGAATTCCCAAACTAAGCAACATTAATTTCACGTATATTAATTTCGAATGTTTTTGCTCTTTTTCAAATAAATCCTTTGAAACTAACGTTTGACTATTTACTACGCCATTAAGCTTATTGACAGGAGCGTTTGGAAAACCAGTGATTCACGGAAATAACAAATGGTAGATGTCAGCAAGTTGCAGCACACTACTAAATAACTGGCCAACGCACGCGCTGCCCGTGCGAAGATGCGTTTTTTGCATAGATCCCTGCAGTTTTTGTTGCTACCCGCACCGGCTTTTTCGGCAAATGCTTATAGCTAAACAACTTAAGACTGGCCGCCAGAACTGTCAGAAAATACCCCCTTAAAATATCAGCTTTCCAGCTTCCCTGGCTCCTGAGTTAGCAACTTACTGGAAAAAAACTTTCATGGGCCGTGCTGGTTTAACACGCATACCCGAGAGTTAGGCTTGAGCTGAATGAAACTTAGGTGGACGGCGTATATCCTCTTAAAATTAGTCCTTTAGCTTCTGAGGTACTCGAGTTATCAGCTTTCCCGAAAAAAACTTTGGCGGTCCCCTGCGCGGGTAACATGCCTACCCGAGGGCTGGGTTTGAGCTCATTAACACCCAGTTGGACGGGGAACATCCTCCTAAAATTTCAGCTTTCTAGCTTCTCAAATCTCCGAGTTATGAACTTACCCGAAAAAAATTTTGGCGGGCTCGTACGCAGGTACCACACTTACCCGGGGGCTGGGTTTGAGCTCACTAATTCCCAGGA